ATTACCGCGATCTATTTGAGATTTTATACTCGTATCATTCATCAGTTCAGGTTAACGCATCGGATGACAGTATCGTATTAAGGCCTTTGTAGACGATAAAAGGATATAGTTAGATTACAAACAATAAAATCTGATATTAAATTTTGAAGTGGTTTATTATATTTGATTAATTTTGCATTCATAACGTTATACGATGTTATAAATATGTTTTAATGAAAAATTATAAATATTTTTTTAATGAAAAATGTTTATAATTTTTTTTAAACATTTTTTGACTGTTCTAGCCACTGGTTACCCGAGAATTTTACAAACACTTGTTACTTTTCGCTAATAGTGAGCGTATTTTCATCAATGTTCCACCCACCCAAGCAATATTTTTACAAATATTTTACTCTTGGGTCTCTGATGTAGTTTAGCTTAATTGAAAGCAGCTACCGGGATGGAGAATCCACGAAGCGTAGGGCCGAGGCTGGCCTAGATGGATGTTTGTAAATTAACGGGATCAGCCCAAAAAGTTTGCGCGTCGACTAAGCATTGTATGTTCTCGCCCTCCAGCTTTAGTATTTATTTAGGCTTGCCACCAATCTGTAAAAGATTTCCTGCAAGGGGACCGGAATGGGGCGAACAGTGCAAAATGAAGTCTTTCGGATTGTTTCTAAGCATCGCCTGCCGCGCCTGGTAGCGACAGTGGAACTAAACCAGTTGAACATGTCATTAAAACCTCTTTAATAACTAATTTGACAGCAATATATTCTTTTTATCGTTCGATATTTGAAATTGCATTTGGCTGGCTATGAAGCCAGCTGGCTAAACCAACTCAACATATCATTAGCGCCGTTAGTACACCGACGCAATCGCATGCGAATGCGAAATATTTGCGAAATCTTGCCATTCGTATGGCAACGTTTCGCATGTACTTTGTCTCGCTCTATTATTAGCTCGATGAAATAGCTGCGTTCTTGTCAGTACTGTTCCGCAATCAACTGAACGTCGTTACACAGACGCATATGTTTCACACTTAGCGTTCTCGTCCCGATTTCCGATGACTATCCGAACGTCACGAATTTTGTTTCTCCAAAAGGTGACAACCCTGTTTGCATTATCATTATCGAATAAGAAATTAAGTCTAATAATTGTTATATCTATACATTTGAAAAGTACTAAACTACTCAACCATTACCTTCATGTATATAGTAAAGATAATTATGGAACCTGTTATATTGAGTCGTTAGATTTAATAGTGACTAGTTATCCACTAATTATTTATAAATAAATAATACAAGCAGTAACCTTTAACTACACAAAGAATCGATTTAAAATTACGTTTCAACGTCAGTAATAAAATCTTTTAGATTAAGGTCCTCTTATATCTCTGTTTGTAGATAAAAAAAACTTTTATGAAAAACTGTCTTCAATTTTCTACATGTGACAGTTATATTACCTATTCATCCAATTTTAAAATCTATCACAATTCCTTTCAGTTTGGCATTTGAAAGATATTCATGCTACAACTAAGTGACATGTACAGTAGCATCTGATGACAGTAAGATGGTCCCGTTTTTACCATTTGGTTACAGCCCTGCGATTCTGTAAATTCTCTTCAAAATGCAGCATCCCCTCAATCTTGAATTGGTAATAAAGTTTTGTAGCATGAGTGAAGTGAGTTTCAAAATAATATAGGATTAGAATATCTGAGACAAGTATAATCAATATAATCAAATCAATTTTGTTTCGTATTTTTATACAAAAATTGGAATCAATAAAATTTCTCCACTAAACTACGTAGATTCGGACACATGAGTGAATTCACATTCGGGTCTGGAGTTTTACAGAATCGCAGGGCTGAAGCCTAAAAATACGTTTACATACAACCTCCTTTTTATTTGAAATCAAGTTAATAATAGATTTTGATGCCCTATTCCGCGAAATACACAATCATCTGTTTCTATCCGTTTCAGAGACTCGCCTATTATGTTTCGCTTTCACAGTTTTTATGCGCAACCACGTATTATAATCAGGTAATTATAATCAGTCCTCAGATTATGCGAAATGTTTTATTTATAGGCACTGGTTGTACTATGGGCGTTCAAATATTTTGAATATTAACATACTATACTAAACAATGCCTGTAGGAATGCGGCATTATATTACGACCGTCAAGGCTGTGTGTCTACCTACTTCATCAGAATCTGTATATGCAAATTCACATTACTACTAATATAATAAAAAGGTATAGTTTCTTACTTTGTTAGTTGGTAATTATCTTCGGAAATACTGATCAGCCCTGCGATTCTGTAAAACTTCAAACCCGATTTCGAATCCACTCGGGTGTCAGAATTCACTTCAAAAAAGCGGCATCCGCTCAAACTTGAATTGGTAATAATGTTTCATGAAATAAGTGAAGTGAGTTTCGAAATGATATAGGATTAAAATATCTATGACACGTTTAATCAATCAATTTTGTTTAGTATTTTTATACAAAAAATGGAATCAATATGATTTCTATACTAAATGACGAGAATTCGGACACATGAGTGAATTCGAATTCGGGTCTGGATTGTTACAGAATCGCAGGGCAGATCATGATTATTCTTACACTTACGGCAAATTAAATCATAGTGGGTGACATAGACTATAATTTACGCGGGTGATATCGCAGTAAAACAGCTGATCCAAAAATAACTTACTGTTTATAAACGACTTCCAAGAAGAAGCTGTCAATTTAGCTTGTTTTTTGTTTATCCGTTTTTTTTTTCTAATATTATTATCTCATGTCAATATCAATAGTGACATATCATTGTCAATAGTGGACAGATTTTAATGCTTCGTTTTGTTTGCTATTTTATATTACCAACCACGAACCCACAACCTTTTATTCAATCTTGTACTACCTGGGAATATTGAATTTTATATGCATTTACCTTTAATAATAACTATACGTACATTTATTCAAAGTTCATAATCATATGTTCTTTGATTACGAGAATACTCATTTTATACTTCCTTATTACATTATCGATGTTAAAGCGTGTAATATAATAATAATACACGTTTTTATACTAAAAGTGGTTAAGGCTACAGATTTGTAACATAAAAACAACAGAACGGATCGTACTTAATAATACTAAATAAATTTATCCATTTAAAATCATTCGCCAACAAACGTCTGAGTTCTTAGTGTTTATTTTATTTTAAATAACATTAAATATCGATAATAATCAAGGAAAAACCACCGCAATTGCAGATAATACAGATACAAACAAAATGTCATACTACATTAGTACCCGTACTATGGAATCATACCATTTATAAATTGATGTGTTCAAAGATTTATTTTTCAAATCGAGGTTAAAGGGGATTCATTACAAACACATCAGCAAAACCCACCAATGACATCACGGGCAAAGAAAATGTTATCTATATTAAGTTAATTACGTATGGCGACATTCATACAATTTTATAGTCCAACTAGCTGACTTATATACAAACCGTGTCATGAACCGTGGAACATATAAAAAATAGAATCATCCAATTTGATGCAGTCGGAACTGGAATTCGGAAGATATGTGCGTACATACGTTTCGGAGATTCATTTTTATTCATCGATATTTAATAGCTCGCCGGTCATTTTTTTTTTCAATAACTCATTAGTTTTTTTTTGGCTTTTATAATTAATATAAATAATTACAAGTATTATTTCAAACAGAGTAGAATAGCCTATACGCATAAATGCTATTTTGATGTTTTTCAGGTTGAATGTTAAGAGAAATACTGTCTTTATCTTATTGCACCCGGCAATGAAATAGATAATTATTAGCAAATCATTACGATTATTGTAAAAGTGTAGCATAACTTGCATAATATAGCCGTTACATAAATAATTATCTATAAAAAAAACAGTATGATCATGTGAGGAACTCGAGAATAGTGAATTTTTAAGGTAACAATGATTTTTGTTTATTTACCAAATTTATAAATTCATGTAAACCCTTAGAAATATGATATTGTTTTCTTATTTTTAATTATAGCTTATTTTACGTTATTTCTATGTATTAAATCAATTTAAAGATGAGCATTTTTGATTTCAAAAATCTCCAATTTACGTCTTGAGTTAGGTATTCAAAGTCTGAGGCTAATGTGAATATGTAGGTATTATAAAAATAATAAAGCGATTTGCATCACAATGTGTATTATATTATTTTTCAGCTAGAAGGCGGAGTTATTTTAATTAAACAATATTTTTATAATACTGGCGTCTTGATAAATCAAAAATATCGAAAAATATTTTAATGAAATGAAAATAATTACATTAGCAAAATGCAGGCCGAGTGATATTACCATCGTAGTAACGTAGTAGAAGTAACAACTGCGATAAAACTTCATTTATATCATCGAGAGCGCAATTCGCCGATCTTGTGTGGGAGGATCTGGTCTCAGCTGACGTCCTACCAAACCAAGTCAGTTTTACGAGCTAGATCTCAAATGAAAAATTAAATTTTAAACTCATGAAAATATTTTGTATATTATTATGATTTTCGTTTTTTAAAACGTTTTTGCGTAAGAGACGAAAATTTGTAATTGTAAAAATACGCCAAGTCGAGCAAAAGGCACCCCACACCCGGCGCGTATACACATGCATTGACACCATTTATACGTATTCGCATCAATATTTAGGTAATCAGAAAAAAATTAAATGTTAAAAAAATATATATCTTGAATTTTCATCATAGCAATGACACTTTAGTACCCAAAGTTATAAAATATATAACAAGCTAATAAAAAAAATAATAACAAGCCTTAATATAATTGCTAAAAGGTACTTCATTTGGGATATGAGCAATGTAAAAATAATAACTGTTTTGATTTATATTTTTGACAATGACAATAGCGTGTCAGCTTGCAATAATCGTATTCGTAAAATTTGCTATCTCTGTCACATCCTGCGGATTATTTCGAGACTTTATCAGCTCCATATCCGCTGGTGGAACTGCTGGTACATCATACTGTGACAGACTGTAGATCTGTCATAATGTTAGCCACTGTGATTCTTTTATATTCGATAGTTTTTATTGCTAATGGTGATGATTTCACTGGTGAGTTTTAATTTGTTTTTATTAATAAGAAAATGAATACCGAGAAAACTATTTAATATTTTTAAGTACTGATTGGCGCAAAACGTGCTGACGTCTGGTCTGATCTCTGATAGCTCTACAGTTAGATAGGACGCGTGATACTGAAGAAGTTTATAATAATTGAAATATGGAAATTTTTGGTCACCCGCCAGATGTTAATCACATTGGCCAAAACAAACTTAATAAAAAAATATAAAGTATTTTTCTATTTTTATAGGACATTCACGATAGCTTATACATACTGCATATGCAAATTTTACAGATCACTTACTTATTCTTAACCATAACATAGAAATAATTGAATTCCGCGCACAGTTTTATTCATCATAATATTATTCTTACAAGATTTTGTTTTGTGCCAAAAAATAACCTATCCCAATTTACTTTAAAACCATTGATTTATTTATCAAGAAAATGTTATATCTTCACGCGTTGATGGTTTAAAACACTCGGTAGCATTGACGTGCGTCAAAAACGGGGTAGCAAAGGTTCTTATAATTTCTTTATACAGCTTATTTTACAGATTAATCGGACGTTATTGATTTCTTGTATATGCGTTTAATAGAATATAGTCATGATTATATGTAGATACATTCACATTTAAACTGGTTGCATGTTATAAGGTATCATCAATTTACGTACTTTTCAATTCAAATAAACCTCAAATGTACAATATAACTAACCGCATTAATTATACATATTTATGTACCTATAAACATTTGCACGACCGTTACTACAACGGTTACAAGGTCTAGGCCCTACCGTGAGTTCTCAAATACACTACAAATATCGTTGTTAAAGAGAGACATCTCTATACTTATGAATAACTATCCCGTTTAAATTACAACAATTGGATTACATTAAAGCGATCGTGATTAAAGGCCTTGTATTTAAAAAAATACTATCCAAATAGGTACATACCTAAATGCGATTCACACATACTGCGATTCTGTAAAAATCCAGACCCGAATTCGAATTCACTCGTGTCCGTCTTCACGTCATTTAGTGAAGAAATTCTATTGATTCCAATTTTGTTTAAAAATACAAAACGAAATTGATTAAATTTTTGGGTCTCAGATATTCTATTCCTATGTCATTTCGAAACTTACTTCACATCAGCCTAATCTTGAATTGGTAATTTGGTTTCATGAGTTTCAAAATGACATAAGGATATAACAAGTATATTCAATAAATTTTATTTTGTATTTTTATACAAAAAATGTAATCAATAGAATTTTTTTACTCAATGATGTGAATTCGTACACTTGAGTGAATTTGAATTCGGGTTTGGATTTTGACTGAACCACGGGACTGATGTTGAATTTCAGTATAATAATATTGTTATTAGTATAAGAATATTGTAGCTATTACAATGACTTAATAGCGACAGTTGTTATTTTAATAAATAGGGCAAATACTGCTTGCACACCGCTTCTAAAATATGAAATGATTTGATAAATATTTTCATAATACTTTATTACTCATACAATAGCTAACTAATACTGGAATGTTGGTTCAAATATTTCATTTTTATTTTAATATTAAGCTATACCTACTTCCTAATAGCTGAGTCAGCGAGCCGCCTACGTGCCGTATCAATATTTTAACAGAGATTTTTAATTGTATTGGATAAGAAATTTGCAGCTATTGATCAAACTCTTTTCAATCTACCATTTATAATTGTTTCTTTCATATATAATATATATAAATTCTTCTTTCACTGTACAAGCTGCTCGTCTCTGGAATTCCCTTCCAGTTTCTATAATAAGTATTCTATAAGGCGTTTCTTTGCAAATATTTAAAAAATAGCGTAAAGGAATTCTATCTTTCACAATGAAATATCCTGCTACTGCCGACTATAACTATTCCTTGTATTGCATTATATAGGTATATATGCAAGTTTATGTATGTATGTTTATTGCGTATAACGTATATATTGTATTATGCATGGATTCACTATATATTTTGATGTTTATTTTTAATTAAGATTATTTGAACATATTTTCTTTTTAATATTATTGATAACATTTGCACCCCCGTCTTCATAAATTGTTATCTCTCTCTCTCTCTCTCTCTCCATCCCATGGTTGAATCTCTCCATCCCATCTTTGAATGGCTTTAAGCGATAATGCCGCCAATGTTATATTATTTATAAATTAATGTAATTTGTGTAACATTTACCATTTGTGTAATGTTAACAATAAATAATTCTCTATTTTATTCCATAAATAATACTTTTTAAATTCTAATAAGAATAACTGTTTAGTTGAATTTTTAATGGCTTTATAGGTTGAATATATCATCTTACAGAACTCTGTAGATTTGAGATAGTAGATCCTTTACCACCATACTATTATATCTACATACTCGTATTAACATTTCACAACAAACCTTAGGAGAGGAAATGATATTAGAAATTAATGAAATAAAATTATCAAATTTACCAAATCTCTAATCCCTAATCTTCTTCTTCTTCTTCTTTCGTGTCAATGGCAACCAAAACTAAAAATCACCGGCCCAGAACTCCGCCACTTTTACGGCGCTATCTGCAGCCGTCATGAGATCCTCCTGCGTACAGGTGTTGGGGCAAGCGGGGCAACATATCAGGTGTGAAGTGATCTGAGGCGTAGTACCACACCTGCACGCAAGGTCTGCAGTATTAGTAAAACCCCACCTGGTCCGATTGTCTTTACTCCGGCCAACCTGAGTGCGGAGTCTATTTAAAGATTTCCACACCGGTCTAGACACAGGCTAGATTTTCGTAACAAAAATAACCATAAAACAATAGTTAGTATCCAACCAACACAAAAACACTTTAAGAAGGCACCTAAACCAAAATACACTAAAATAATTATGTTTTAAATAGCATTAAAGTTATATTCATAACCAAGGACAGACCACCGCACTTGCAACATAGATGTAAACAACAAAATGTCAAACTATGTAAATGCATTACCAGTACTATAAGATCTCATATATGATACTCAACCAAATCAAGATATAATTCTTAAAAAAATATTGACTCTTCAAGTCGGGACTAAAACCTCTGCTAAAATAAAGATATTATAATCACATCACCATAACCCATCAATGACTTATAACTTATGAGTAGGTATACAAGTCTTTGTCCATTAGCCTACAGTAAAAGCGTGCTGGAAGATGTTCTTGATTCATATAACCCATTAATTAATACAAAATAGTGAACCTCGGATAGACATATAATAAACTTAAATTATACATACGTTAGAATATCTGTCCCTTTAGCGGTTGTCTCAAAAGTCTCGTAAAATCTCAACATTTAGAGCAAGTTACTCAAGGTGATGTTAACGTTCACCATGTAAAATGAAAATTATAAATTGAATAAATTTATAATATATTTCATATTTCACCATTTTTAAAACAGTGAACTCAAAGTGTTTGTATTATCACTGTATTATCTACCTGCAGCTCATTTTATTAGAACAATGGCTTTAATTATAAATTATTATTATCTATTTATAAAATTCTTGCGTTACTGAGTGACTGACTGACTGACTGACTGACTAACTAACTGACTGACTAACTGACTGACAGACAACGTACAGCCGAAACTACTAAGCATAGAAAGTTAAAATTTGAAATGAAGATTTCTTAGGGAGTGTAGAAGAACACTAAGAGAGGATTTTTGAAAATTCCACCGCGTAGGGGCTAAATTAGGGGATGAAATTTTGTATGAAACTTCGTTACAACAAGTACTAGGAGTTTCCAAATTTTGCAAGCAGATTCTTTTTAGGACAAAGGTGCTCACTAAGACGGGATTTTACGAAATTCGACCCCCTTAGGGATCGAATTTCGCATAAGGGATGAAAGTTTTTATGGAATTTCCTGATTTCTGGATTTAAAACTATAAAACGCAGAAGCGGGGGGAAGGGTCGAGAGAGTATGATATTAGAATAATATTTAATAGAATTTGTATGGACAAACTGTGGTAAGGGGTTAAAATGTATAGATGGTCCCTATTATTGTAACTCCGTGATGTAACAACGACAACGAAATCAAAAGAAGACGTCAATAAAACACCACTGACACACCATTATTATGTTTGTTGGCAAAATTGAGGTCAAGTGCCATTGTTGTAACATGGTATATTAACAATTACGATAAAACTTTTTCATACCATCGACAGATAAATCCATCGATCCCGCGTGGGAGGAAATGTTCTCAGCTGGCGGTTTACATGTGGGATCTGGAAGGTCTAAAAGATTCGTCGAAATGAACCCTAACCAAGTGAGTATTAAGGACTATAAACCTTACTCGTAAGTCAAAGTCTAAACAATCTTTATTCAATTAGACTTCGTAATAGTACTTTTAGCACCGTCCAACATTTTTTTCTCTACCACTCATTCAGGATATCTTTTGACTGATAAAAAAAACGAGCAAGAAACTCACCAGTTCTAATGGGAATAACGATATTCACAAAAACCATTTCATTATTAAATCAATATATTATAAATAGAAAAAAAAATATAATTTATTAATGGCAATAACTGTTACATAATCAGATGCCCCAAAATAATCTTTAAGTATGATAACTGATTGGTGTATTTTGCTTGAAACCTTTTTGTAAAAGCGCACACAAAGACCCTTGAACTAATTATTAACTTCTTGCAGTCAAATGATAGGCACCGTTAATTTATTTTTATTTCTAGTATTAAAATTGTGTACATATTTTTACGAATGGACATTAAGTTGTCGTTCACATATTCTCTCTTTGTATTTGAGAAGCAACAGTAAAACATAATATTGTCCAGTCAGAAAAGATTTCAGAATAAAAAATTAGCACAAATCTCAAGTCTCATATAATCTCGTATATACGTCATAAATTAATGAAGATCTCAAAAATCATCTCACAAATATATTTGTTCATTGTGACTTTACAGTACGACGTAAAAGAATTCAATAAAGAACCGTAAAAGATAGTTGGGTTTAGTTTAGTTAAGATTTAGTGGGCTAAGTAGGTGGGAATAAATTTTGCTGCCCCTCTTAATTAGGCATTTTATATAATTAAACTATACATTATAAAAATGAATTTTTAAGATTTTTTCATTATTTTGCATTATACAGGTTAGATTTTGACTGCACGGTTGGTCGAGTAGCTTAGTTGTCACCATGCAACCGCCCACGGATCGAGTGTTGTGGTTGTGATCCCCATAAAGGACAATATTTCGTGTGATTTACAAATAATTGTTCTTAGTCTGGGTGTACTTGGTCCCTCGCAACACAGGAATTGTATCCTAAAAAACGAGCTGGTCTTTATAAATACAAAACAAGATTTGAAATAAATAAACTATGAAATAAACAATTGAATCCATGAATAAAACTTTCTTTGAATTATCAAAGCACCACCTTTCTTAAAGGGACGTAATAAACAATATTGAACTTAAAATATGTGATAGTAGTCATTCTTACTTATTGTCTCATAAACAATCCAAGCACAAAATAAAATACGGGGAATCCCCGTAAATCAGTATAGATGGTGTTGTCGTTCGCTACAAAATATCATTTAATGAAAGAGTATTCTCAGAATTCGTCATAGAATAAGTAATGAAAAATTTCGTGCTCTTATCATTTGGTCAGAATCTTGCCTGAATGCCACTGCTGTTACAAGCATATCTGAAAGGCGAGATTGTATGCTATCGATTCGTAAATTTACTGCCGTAAATTTAATTACAACTAGCTGAAACTCCAATTACGACTCCAGCTTTCAATAAAGGCTCAAACTTTAAAAAAGGCCAAAGCCTAAAAAAAATAATCGAGCCCTTTTATGTAAGGAACTCAAAGTAGGCCTATTTTATGAGTACGTCTTAAAAAAGGACTCGAAACTTTAAATTTAAGCCTTAAAGGCTCGAGTCTTTTCCATCTCTAGTAGTAGGTTGTCTAGAATAGTTTGCTATGCCCACGCAATTTGATTTTTATTGCTTTACGAATGTAAATTCATAATGACCTTATAAGATATTTATTCTTAAATAAAAAATGTATTACAATAAGATTTGAAATCATATAAACAGATTGATTTATATCTAACATTTTGAATTTCATAATATTAATCGAAATCTCTATCACCAAAAATAAATGACATAAATATACAAAATTTTATAAAACACAACAAGCATTCAGAAAGTATATATGATTCGATTTGTTATAGATGAATACCCTTTTTTAATAAAGTAAGCGCTTTGTGTAAACTGTGTAAAAGTTGTTTGTAAGTTATCAATCTATGCTGATAACCATAAATCGCAAACAATGAAGCTGCGGAAGATTATTTTGCATTATAACTAATATTTTAGCTGCTGATAATTAAATTATAAATTGGTCGTTATCGCTTCCCGTTAATTCCATCCATTATAACAGACAATGGGACTATACAAAACTGTCAAATTCCCCTACTCAATATGTAACTTTAGTACATTGAGGGTAGAAGTCAAAATCTATTGCAGAAATTTGACATATTCTGGTAACCTGTGTAGCGTAATGTTGTAATAATGTTTAAGAACATTAATGACGTTATTCCTACTTTTCGTTAATGATATTAATTAAATACGGATATCAAAAACGGAATAAAGAAATAAATTAGACAATTGTTTTGGTATTTGATACGTTATTCTAATTGAATAAAGGCGAGAGTTGTAAATAGGATTTGACTTTTAATGTTTTAAGTACTGCGGCAAGAGAAATGATGTGTCAACAAGTTATAACTATTACTATAATTAGTATTGAGTATAAATTGAAGTGAGTGATAACAGGGGGCATAGTTGGTTCAGTGTTACTGGAAGGTAAAAGATCTACAACGAAAATAAGTTGATTCAGTGTTTCTGGAAGGTAAAAGATTTTCGACGAAAATAAGTAACAATGGCTGTGAGGATAATATTGGTAAGTAAACAACTATCATTTGTTATAAAAATATAAAAATTGGAATTGAAGTAGATAATTATATGCATAATTATTATATCCACAAATTATCTTGTCTGCAATTTAAATATTTTGAAATAAATCCGAACAGAATTAGTAATTCCGTATATTATGGTAACACTATAGCAGATCTGTTCTTTTTGTTGTAGATCTTTCTATACGCAGTTATTCTGATGTTGGTAGACGCGAGATCTTCTTATAGGATTATCAATAATAAACCAGTCATTGATATCAATAATACGCCAGCACCAATGACCATAAAAGCACCACAGGAAAGGAGATCCGCGCTCTTTCCACGGCTGCATACCAAATTCGTAATAGATACCAAAGAAATGCCTGAATATACGCCTTTGAGACAATCGCCAGAGTACGTAGTCCCGAATAAGTTCAGATTTAACAGAAAAGAAATAATGTTATCCAAAAACTCAACTCCAAAACCCTTAAGATTTGTTCCTAAAGCTAGGAAGACTGGCTCAATCAATCAGGCAGTCATAAGATCAGATGAAAGTAATTATCCAATCGTGGAAAGTGTTTTGCGTGACAATTATAGTATAAAAAGAGAAGGAAGAAATAACCAAAATAGTTTAAATAATGAAGGACAAGAATCTGTCAATATTAAAATGTTGACTGAAAATCCTGAAGTAAAAGACCCAAATTTTGAAGATTTGAATACAGATTTTGAATTAGAAGAAAATAATATGGAAATGCAAAACGATGATGATACTACTTCTACTACGACACAAGAAACACAATATTATTACACATCTGAAGTGACACTGGATAACGTAACTAGTTACCCGGAAATTACCAGTCCTTTTGAGGAAATCGGGGAAACTACAATGGATAGCACTGAAGGTGTAATAAATTACACTGATATAACCAAAGTCAAGAATATCGAAAATCAGTATCCAGTAAGTAATGACAGTGTAGAAACAATTACAGAAGTTACAAACGTTTCTGAACTATTCGAAATGACTACGATAAACGAAAAACGATACCCAGAGAATATTATAAGTAATGAGAATTTAATGACAGATATGAAAATAATTTCCTGAAGTACCCGGGCATAATATATATTAGTAGTAGTGCAATAGTAGTAGTACTAGTTTTAGTGAATCGAAGTTGACGAAGAATTAAACTCTTAAAATAAGAGTGGTGCCAGGTAAATATTTATTTTTAATATATATATTACCATGCATATTACGCATTTATTAAAATCACTTTAATTAACATAAAAATTATACCCACTAAATTTTAGATATTACGAATTGTGGAAAAAGCCCTCCACTAAAATACTTATATTATTTAAATTAGATTCACTTAATAGTTAATCATTAATAGATTTCAAAATCATCATCTTATAAAAGTATCATCTTAATAAATCGATTTATTTTTCCTAATATAAAATTAATGTTTAAATTTTTATTGATTACAGAAATGTGAACCTTATTGAGGAAGAAAATCAAGCTACAGTCATAATTATACCGGGATTCAAATCAAATCACCACTGGAAAATGATCAAACCTTTATATATACGTACATATTTATTTATAGATTTCTTGCGTGCCATAGTGTTATTTATTATATCAATGTGTGTAATAAATACACTATATTAAGATATTTTTTTATGAGGATTAAGGATATAATCAACATATTAGCTAGTATTTTTTAGATTGATAAAAATACCCATATTTTAATTAAAAATGAAATCAATCGTGGAAAGTGTTTAAAGTGACAAAAAAAGAATTAACAGAGAAGGAAAAAATAACCAAAACAGTTTAAATAATGAAGGAAAGGAATCTATCAATATTAAAATGTGGACTGAAAATCCTGAAGTAAAAGATCCAAATTTTGAAGAAGGTTATGATGATAATTCACAAATCATTGAAAAATTTGAAGAAAATAATATGGAAATGCAAAATAATGATGATACAACTTCTACTACGAAACAAGAAACACAATATCTGTAGTGACACTGGATAACGTAACTAGTTACCCGGAAAGTAAAAGTCCTTTTGAGGAAATCGGGGAAACTATAATGTATAGCACGGAAGGTGTAATAAATTACACTGATATAACCAAAGTCAAGAATGTCGAAAATCAATATCCAGTACGTAATGGCGGTATAGAAACAATTACAGAAGTTAGAAAGAAGTAAAAGATTTTCAACGAAAATAAGTAACAATGGCTGTGAGGATAATATTGGTAAGTAAACAAATGGCTTAATTGAAGTAGATAATTATATACATAATTATTATATCCACAAAGTATCTTGTCTGCAATTTAAATATTTTGAAATAAATCCAAACAGAATTAGT